TAGCTCTTCATTGAATGCTAACTCAGTAACTTCAAACTCGAGAATAGTAAATTATCTCTTTTTCGTAAATTTATGCATAATCGTCAATCGATAATCAGACTCGATGATGCCTTCTTCTTATTATTTGTATAAGTATTTCGGTTGAATGGATCTCTGCAAACAACCTCTAAGATCAGAAGTTAACATAAACCCAATAATATAAAATTGTAAATTTTTTTTTTGTTGGTCACAGATAGGGTATAAGTGTATATGTTGTTTTGAGAATGTCTGGATTGGTTCTTGTTTTGCAAATCAGAAGTTAACAGGTGTAAACAAGCTTGCGGCGAAGAAAACATAGGAAAGAGCAAAAGCGCCAAAAGTGAAAACCAAAATTTTGACATTTTGTGGTCGAATCTGAGAATTATAATGTAATACAGTACAGGCCTGGAATTTCCCCTTATTTTTATAGTTTTTATTTTTGCCCCTTTTTGTCGTCTTTTATTTAATTTTAAGCATAATAATGAAGGAGAATTAGAAGGGAGGCGTTTCGAACAAAATTGTCGGCAAAACAGACGTTAGCGTTAATCATTAATCATATAAGGAGAGGGCAATTAATTTACTAATTACCCATTATTAGTGGGTGAGAGGGGAATATAATTTATTATTACATTGCCATGTTCCTCCTCTCCCCAATTTGTCATACTCAACAACAAGATTGCCATCTCTCTTAATTACTTACCCAACATGTATTATTAATTTTCTGGTGGCATTATTATTATGATTCACATTGCCATTAGTAGAAAAAAATGGGAATGCCAACCATACCCCGCGCATTCTTGCCTGGAAAATCGCAATTTAACTAATCGTGTTTCGTGTGATGTAAATAGTTCGATAAAATACGTACTATACTGTATATTCATGAAGTGACTATTGTGTGTGGACTATGACATGGTATAGTGTGATAACAAATATCTATTAGGCAAACATTGATTCAAGTAGGTAATGTTAAGCGTTCAAATATAATTATAATTATTAAAAAATGTCCACGTATCAAATGCAAAGAAACTACGTAAGAAAGAGTGAAAACGATAATTACTAGTCACATTAGTATTACTCTAATTACAAGTCTCTAACTCCCAGGGCTAGCTAAGCTGCACTCCAAGTTGGAAGCTGAGCTTGATCAAGTCATGGAGCAAGAAGAGCTCCTCTGGTTTCAGCGTTCCAGGGAGAAATGGGTTCAGTTCGGGGAGCGGAATACGGGCTATTTCCATCAGCAAGCGAACATCAGGAGGCGTCGCAATAAGATTGAGGCTCTTCAGGATGCTCACGGCAATTGGGTGACTGAGCCTCAAGACCTGGCCTCTCTTGTGTTTAATTTCTTTGCTGATCTTTGTACGCAGGAGGAGGATACCTATGAAGACAAGATGCCCAAAGGAGCTTTCCCCCGTCTCAGCCAGACCGAGTTGCTAGAGCTCTTGCGGCCCTTCACCGGCATGGATATCCATAGAGCCATCTTTGATATGAAGCCTTTTCAGGCCCCGGGTCCGGACGGCTTTCAAGCTTGTTTCTATCAGCATATGTGGAGGACTGTTGGTCGGAACCTCATTGACATGGCTATCAAGTTCTTTGAGACGGGTACTCTTCCCGAGGCGGTCACAGAGTCGACTCTTGTACTTATACCCAAGGTGGAAAGACCGGAGGTGGTGAGCCAGTTAAGACCGATCTCTCTCAACAACGTCAGCCTGAAGGCAATCACCAAGGCCATGACTAGCAGACTCAAGCCGATTATGAGGAGTTTGATCTCCCCTCGCCAGAGCAGCTTTATCCCGGGCCGCCAGACGACGGATAACATTATCGTAGTTCAGGAAGTTCTCCATTCGCTTCATAAAAAGAAAGGGAAGAGGGGAGGTATCATCCTCAAGATCGATCTGGAGAAGGCTTATGACAGGTTAAGGTGGGACTTTCTCCGGGATACTCTGAAGGAGGTCGGCCTTCCAAGCACGTGGATCAGTTGTATCATGCACTGTGTCACTCAAAACAGGATGCAGATACTTTGGAATGGACAACTCTCTCAGTCTCTCAATCCGACTCGAGGAGTTCGCCAGGGAGATCCCTTATCCCCTTACCTCTTTGTTCTCTGCATGGAACGTCTCTCTCATTTGATTGATGAAGCTGTCTTTAATGGGCAGTGGAAAGCGCTTAGGCTGTCAAAGAATGGCCCGCCTCTCACTCACCTTTTTTTTGCAGATGATCTCCTGTTGTTTGCTCAAGCGGATACTCACCAGATCAGGGTCATCAAGCGGATTCTGGACGACTTCTGCTACAGTTCCGGGCAGCGTGTGAACTATCACAAGTCCATCCTTTATGTCTCCCCAAACATTAGCCGCGAAAGAGCTAACCGTATGAGTCAGCTTGCAGACATCCCCCTGAAGATGGCGCTTGGCAAGTATTTGGGCATCCCGGCGATTCATGGGCGAGTGACTAGGGAGAGATATCAACCCCTTCTCCTTCGCATTCAGAAGAAGCTGGCGCCCTGGAAAGCTAGGAGGCTATCTTTTGCCGCGAGAATCACAGTGGTTAATTCGGTTTCTGCTTCTATTCCTGTTTACTACATGAATTCTGAGCTGATACCGAGTGGAGTGTGTCACAGCATAGATAAGATGAACAGGGATTTTGTTTGGGCGGAGGAGGAGAACAAGAGCAGGATGCACCTGGTGGCTTGGGATAAAATGGCGGTGCCGAAGAAGCACGGAGGAGTGGGCATCCGGCCTACCAGACAGGCCAACCTGGCCATGCTAGCTAAGGGGGGATGGCGGCTCATCAAGGAAAAGGAAACTCTCTGGTCTCAGATCATGCATGCCAAGTATGGTCATCAAAGGGAGAACCTGGATATCCTCTGCAGTTCTCAGGGAAGTTCCTTTACCTGGAAAAGCTTTGCTAAAGCTGTTGATGTGTTAAAGCAGGGATGTGCCTGGAATATTAAGAATGGTAAGCGCACTAAGTTTTGGTTGGATTCTTGGGTTTTGCAGGGGAGCCTGAAGGAGGTGGCCACTATGCAAATTGCCGAGGACATGGAGCAAATGACGGTGGCTGATTACGTGACTGTCGAGGGAACGTGGCGCCTCGACATGTTCGAGGCCTTCCTGCCTGCTGAGGTCTGTCAGAAGATTCTCAGCGTGGCGGTCGACACGCTTTCCAATGAAGAGGACACGCTGTTCTGGACTGCTTCCCCGGACGGGAAATTCTCAACCAAGACGGCCTTCAACCTCATCATTCCGCAGCCGCAAGACCCGGATGAGAAGCTGTGGAGGACGATCTGGCGCCTTCCAGTCCCGGAGAGGGTTCGTGTTTTCATGTGGCAAACGTGCACCGGGAAAATTGCCACTAACAGTCTCCGTTTTCACAGGAAAGTAGCGGCGGATCCTTGTTGTCCGAAGTGCCCGGGGTCACCAGAGACAATCTTGCACACTCTCAGAGACTGCCCCCCAGCTACTTTCTTTTGGCTTCGGCAGATCGCGGGTTTGCAACAACAAGACTTCTTCACTCTCGATCAGGGAGATTGGCTGCGGAGCAATCTCTCGAGGACGGATACGGTGGCGACAGGGATGCCTTGGCCTGCTTTTTTTAGTACGGCGCTTTGGCTCATTTGGAAAAACCGTTGTGTTCTCTGTATGCAGGGTACTGGAGCAGCTCTCACCCCCCCCCTCACTGGAACACTCGATTTTGGCCAAGACGAAGATGTGGTACAATGTTTGGCTCGCCCCTCCTCTCCTTCCCTGTAAAGGAAATCGCCCAGCTGACAGAGTGGAGGAAGAAGTGGGTTGGAGGTCACCGCCAGAGGGATGGATCACGTTGAACACTGACGGAGCCTCCAACGGCAATCCTGGGCCAGCAGGGGCTGGGGGTGTGTTACGCGATCAGATGGGGCACTGGGTCGCTGGCTTTGTCGCCAATCTTGGCACCGCCACGGCGATTCTCTCGGAGCTTTGGGGAATTTCCTTTGGGCTTGACATCGCTTGGAAGCACGGAGGAAGAGCTATTCACATCCAGACAGATTCGCAGCTGGCGCTACAGCTTATTGAGGCTAGACATGACCCGATTCACCCGTATGCTACTCTCCTCTCCACCATTCGCAGGAAGATTAACCGTGACTGGCTGGTTCGCCTAACGCATACTTACCGAGAAGGGAATAGAGTCGCGGACTGGCTCTCGAAGCACAGTCTCGTCTATCCCTACGGCATGCATGAGTTAACGAACCCGCCGCCAGGAATTAATTCTCTGCTCAGGGACGACATGATGGGCATTACCAGCACCCGCAGGGTGGTTGCTACCTCTCCTTCCCCTCTTTTCACCTCCATGTAATCCTCTTTTCTTGGCTGTTTGCCTCCGTCTAATGCAAAAAAAAAAACTCCCAACTAACTAGTAGTGCATTTTCACTTGCAATCTCAAGTTAGCTCTCGCTCGGTTTCGTAGTGTATCTTACGTGTAACTTAGTTTCGGTAATGAGGTGTTTAGTCTTCAAATTAAATCTTCGCCTTGTCTAACAGTGTGTAATTTAAGGAAGACGATATAAAAAGTGAAAACACTAATCGATATGTTTTCAGAAGACTTCCGATTTGTAATTGGTTACAACCTGCAAACTAATCGATCTGTTTTTACAAAATGCTCTTTCATCGGTTAAGATAGTGGATAACTACGATAAAAAAAAATACTAGTAGACCAACCGTACTGCTTACGATCTGTAATTGGTTACAACCTGCAAACTAATCGATATGTTTGTACAAAATGAAACGATCGATTCATATAGCGGATAACTACGATAAAAAATACAAATTTTTTTTGAACATGGTAATTAACATGTATAGTAATTTAATAATAGCAAACAATTGGGAAATGGAAATACTATTAATATTACTTTTCTCTCTTCCACCTTTCCTTCTTCTTCTTCTTCCTCCTCTGTCATTTATATATATAATTAATGCTTTTTAATCAGTAGACCATGCTTACAGAAGAAAGCTGCTGTCCCCTCCTTCCCCTGTTTTTTGCCCTCTCCCTCTCTCTCCTTTCGTTTTCTTCTTCCTTCCCTTCTCTCTCTTCGTTTCTGGTGTTTTCTCTTTCAGCTGTCCTCGACGAACTCTGTCACCGCCACCGCCACCACCACGTTCTCCTCTGTTCTTCTACTCCTCCCCACCTCCATCTCGCTCTTGTGTTTTCCCGTTTACCAGTCCACTGTTCTCACCAGGAGATTTGACTCCATGAAGATGCCAGTAAGTACGTTCTTCCCCAGATTTGTATTAGGTTTCTTTTCCTCTCCCTTCTTCCTATTCAGCTCACCGCTATGTTTTTTCGGTTCCATTTCTGCAGTTTTACTCTACCACTACAGCAATTCAGCTTGTTGTAAAAACAGTGTTTTCGCTTTACTGTTTTTTTCTTTCTTCTTCCTCCCCAACCCATTGGATTCCATATTTCCATGTCTTAACGACCGACCTTCCTTCCCATTTAGGTTGTTATTTCCCCCTTTTCAATGATTTCAATTACTCTGTTTTCCTCCCCTTCCCACCTTTCCTTTTCCGTCTTTGGGGTTCTCCCCCCTTTTCTATTTTGCTCGATTCAGGAAACAGAGTATCTTCCAACTTCCATTTTTTCCCGACTCTCCATTTCTTGACCATCTACCCTTGTCTCAAAATCCCAAAATTGAAAATGGGTTTCGTTCATTCTGCTCTTATGTCATCAATGGTGGGATGGGTTCGGTTCAGTATTCTCAAGAATCCCCTGTTTTCAAAAGTCTGAATTTCGATTCCCGTCTGTGTTTAATTCCAGGTAGCATTGCTCCTGCTGCTGGCACTGAGCTGTGGAATCCAAACGACGGCGGCCGGAGAAAGAGGAAGGAGTAGCAGCGATGGGCAGTGCGATCACAAGCCGAGCCTCGAGCCCAGGCCGCACAGCGTCTCGATCTTGGAGTTCGGCGCCGTCGCCGACGGGAAAACGTTGAACACAATCGCTTTCCAGAACGCCATTTTCTACCTCAAGTCGTTTACCGATAAGGGCGGCGCCCAGCTTTATGTGCCCAAGGGGAAATGGCTCACCGGCAGCTTCAATCTCACTAGCCACCTCACTCTGTTCCTCGCCAAGGGCGCAACCATTCTCGGATCGCAGGTTCGTTTTCACCCCCGAATTTGATTGGTTCGGTGAGATTGATAGTATGTGACCTCTGACAGCAATCAAACAGAGGGAAAAAATGAATGATCATAGCTGGAGACAGGATTTAGTGGTTCAGTAATCCGTTAGAATATTGTGTGCTGGTGGTTAGCTGGAACTCTGTGACATGTTCTCTGTCCTTTTTCTTCTTAAAATAATGACGTGTCATTAGCTTTAGATGTGACATACAAAAATTATCGATCAAACACACAAATTTACGTAGTTAACGGTCAGTATTTCGTGTTTATTCACCAACCAATAGTGCTCGAACTTGTAACTTTTCAGCATATGACCATGATACTTATTAACAATCATACAAGATGGTTTTATCCAATTCGACAATGCAACTGTTGAATTTTTATTTGATAGCTGAAGTTACAAAGTCTTACATGTTATTCGAATTATGAATTGACTTGTTTTAACAATCAATACATTGTGGTTGTTAATTTGATGGAACCATCTTATGTTTTTTTATCTGTTCTTCTGATTGGGAGTCACTTTCTTTGACAAACCCTTTCACCCATTTCTCCCCCCTGAAATCTGGACTAACTGTGACACTTTTCTGCAATTTCTCCCTCCCTTTAGGATCCATCGCATTGGGATGTTGTTGAGCCATTGCCATCCTACGGCCGCGGAATTGAGCTCCCTGGAGCAAGATACAGGAGCTTGATCAATGGGTACAAGTTGCAGGACGTGGTGATAACGGGTAAATTCTTCACCATCACACACAGCCATTGAAACTACCAGAGCACTTATAATTGATCTCGGGTTTTTCGATTCGTTGTTTTCAGGGGACGAAGGATCGATCGACGGCCAGGGCAAGGTGTGGTGGGATTGGTACAACGCGCATTCGTTGAACTACAGCCGGCCTCATCTCGTCGAGTTGGTTCAGTGCGAGGACATCGTCGTCTCCAATCTCACTTTCCTCAATGCCCCTGCTTACAGCATTCACCCCGTCTATTGCAGGTCAGTACTGCTACAGCTTCATCCTCTGTTTTTCTTTTGTGGTTTCTATTGAATGTGGGATTTTTTTGGTGCTCAAGTTTGTTTCACTTTTCAAAATGCAGCAACGTTCTTGTTCAGAACATCTCAATCTCAACTCCACCGGAATCTCCTGGCACAGTCGGCATAGTTCCAGGTTAGGATTTTCTCCTAATTCATCAATCTTTCCGAACAATTGCAGACAAACTGAAACGGAAAAAAATTCTTTTCAATTTTCAGATTCATCCAACAACATATGCATAGAGGACAGCAGCATCGAGACAGGGCACGACGCCATAGCTCTGAAGAGCGGGTGGGACGAGTACGGCATCAACTACGGCCGGCCGACGATGCACGTCCACGTCCGTGACGTGACCCTCAAGTCGTCCGCCGGCGCCTGCATCGCCCTTGGGAGCGAAATGTCCGGCGGGATCTCCGACGTGCAGGGCGACGACATCCGATTGCACGACTCTCTGGGCGGGATCGAGCTGAGGACGACGCGTGGCAGGGGCGGATACATCGAGCGGGTGTTCTTCTCCGGCGTCGAGATGGCAGGCGTCGAGGTCGGGTTGGTCGCGAGGGGCGACATGGGCGAACATCCGGACCAGGGGTTCGACCGTGGAGCGGTTCCCCTCGTCCGAGGGATCACGTTCAGGGATGTGGTCGGGTCGAAGGTCGGTCTGGCCGGGAATTTCACCGGAGCGGAAGGGGTTGAGCTCGGTTCGATCTGTCTGTTGAACGTGACTTTGGCTTCAGGGGATCCGTGGGTTTGCTCGGGTGTTGATGGGTTTTCGGAGATTGTGTCTCCTGAACCGTGTCGGGAACTGGCGAATTCGGAGAAGAGTTCTTCGTCGTGTTATGACGTGATGAAACAGTCTTATGGGAGATCATTCAGTTTATGATTGATGATATGATGATGATATATATATACCATTTTGTTTGTGGGTAAATGGTGATGGGAAAAGAACAGAAAACAAAAACAAAGAAGGGGGAAAAAGAAATTTGGGAGTGTTGAATTATTAAGTCTAGGGCAGATTCTTTTTCAATAAGACCATAGAGGAGAGCAATTTGATTTGTTTCTTTGGAGGGATTTTCCTCTCCAATGGTGTCTTTTTTCTCTTTTTCTTTTATTTTTTTGTTCATGTTTGGAGTCTCTGCAGATGATGATTTGATTCGTGTACAGCTTCCCCAATTCTTCATTCATGGTGTAAGAAGGAAATTTTTGGCAGTGATTTCATTCCACAGACTTTGGAAGAGACCAAAGAGAAGGAAAAAAAGAGCCATTTGGATTTTTGTGCTATAAGTTCATTGCTTGATTGTGGCAATGGTTCCACTCTCAAGTCTCAACTACTGGATTGGATGAAAAACACATTCATGAATAGCATCTTTCTCCCTTCTAGATAATATCTTATACAATTATATCATTTATGTTAATTGATATCAGATGTGCTTGTTGCTATGGTCGTACAAAATAATGCATGAATTGGAGCACCGTTATGATCCCATTTAATTTTATTGTCCGATCCTAATCAGATTGTGCACAACCATCAATAATAATGAACAATTTCCGCCGTCGTAGATCATCAAAACAAACCAAAATGATGACAATCCGCCGAACACGAGACAGTATGAGCACTTTTCCTCGAACGTCTTGTAAACATCCTAGCCTGAGTTAATCTTCTCTAGTTTGTGTGTCATGACTCATGAGTCATGACTCTAGAGGGCGGACAATCCGCCGAACACGAGACAGTATGAGCACGTTTCCTCGAATGTCTCGTAAACATCCTAGTCTGAGTTAAGCTTCTCTAGTTTGTGTGTCATGACTCATGACTCTAGGAGTGAGTGGGGGTGGGTATGAGCGGCTGCAGGCAGTAGTGGAATGTGTCTTTGTTTGCCAGCTTGAGGGATCCAATGCCCTTACACAGCTTTGCTCCTTGCCTCATAAAACGGTATTCTCTCTTTGACTGCCTTGTTGTTTGTGTGTTGTTGCAGTTGTGGTGAAGTGATGGGATGGGAGAGGAGAGGAGAGGAGAGGAGGATAAGCCCAAATATTAATATAAGATTGTGGCTGTGGGGATTTTTTTGCTGCTCTGTCTTTCCCCCATGTGACTGAGCTTTCAATGAAAAGAAGAAAAGGGTTGGCCTGTTGGAATGGAAGAAGAAACAGGACTTCACTGTAAATCAAAATTGAAAAAAAAAAAAAAAATATTTCAGAAATTTTGTCTTGCATATGTCAACAAACAAAGGGTTTAGGAAGGCCATGGTTTAACATGCAAATGCAACAAAAAAGGATTGGAGAGAGGAGTTGATGAATACAATGGGCGGATTTTGTTGTCATAATTATTGGGAGTATCAAATATGTGTAGAATAAGTCATCTTTTGATCCCCATTTGTTTGATGTCTTCCTACTCATTTGATTCTCCCCCTCTACACATCATAGTGGTGGCAATATTGAGATACTGATCTGAGTTTTAACTTTTAATGTCATATACTATTTGTAAATCGATCAATTAAAACGAAGACTTTAATTTCATTCTATACAACCAAGTAAAGATATCTCGTATAATCGATAACTGTTAATTTTAATTGCTGATTGAAATAACTAATATCCTTCTCATCGATACGCTATTTGTGATATTTTCGAGATGCTATATAAAGCATTTTTATATTATTTATTCCTACTCCCCTCTTGTAGTTGTAGTATTGTGTGGTTGGTAAAACAATCAACACATACACTAGACCCATTTTGTTTTTGTTTTTGCCATACTAGACCCATTTTTATATATTCGTAGGTTTTATTGGGGTGAATATTGATAATATTTAAAATAAAACAATTACTTAAAAAGAAAGGGGTTTAATTTTTTTTTTTTTTGTTGTGACTGGATCGGGCCGGGGTTGGCTCGGCCCAATATGAAAACTTAGCGTAAAAACCCAAACGGCGAATTCGGTAGCTCTCAGTCCACAATAATATTTGTGGAGATAGACCGTTTAGACCCAAACTGTTCAATGAGACTCAATCCAGCCCAGCCCAGCCCAGCCCAGCCCAATGAAACGAATACCAACTAAATTTGAAAAGAAAGAAAAAAAAAAAACAACAACTGAAGAATGCCTTCAGGCTTCAACCCCCCAACTGTAAAATCGCCCTAAAACCCTGAACAGAAGGCCTTTCTTCCTAGCGCCAATCCTCCCGCTTCCCTGCTCCGTTGCCGCCACTCCACTAAGCAATCGCCGCCGCGACGCCGTTCATCTCTTCCTCCGTCTCAGCCTCTCAGGTTAGCGCTTCTTTCTTCCTAACTGGAGCACTCGTCAAGCGAGAGCTGTGGCTCCTCTTCTCCGGGGAAAAAGGATTTTTTTTTTTTTGGTGAGAATCCTCGTTCAATAGAGCTTGCGTTTCTTTCATTTGAAGTATTTCTGGGGGAGAAGCAAGGAGAAAATGGTGTCGACCAATATTAGGGACCTGCTGACGGCCTTCAGTCCTTCATTGGATTACTTCGCTATCAGCTCCGGCGACGGTCGAGTGAAGGTATTTGAAATATTTCTTTGTAGAGATACACTTTCGGATGCTTACTGTTGAGCTTTGTTTAGATGCTGTTTCTGATTTTTTAATCGGTTTGTTCAAGATTTGGGACACTCTGAAGGGCCAGGTGCAAACGGAGTTTGCAGACATAGCTTCGACTGATGTGAGCCTGCTCTCCAAGGCGGAGAGAGGGCACCTCTCGGTTGATTATACGTGCATGAAATGGATCTCTCTAGACAGGAAGGTTGGCGATGTTAAAGAATTTCGATGGAATATTTGGCTTCGATTCCGGATTCTTGATTGATTGAATTTCCTTTGAATTTCAGAAGAAAAGGAAGCTAGGGAGTTCGTTGTTAGTGTTAGGAACTGGCAGCGGGGATGTCTTGGCGCTTGATGTGGCTGCTGGTCAACCCAAATGGATAGTTAGCGATTGCCATCCTGGGTGAGCTCTCGTGCGTTATGTTTTGTTTTTATGCTGTTGGGACTTTATGAATAAGGAAATGAAACTAATGTTGATTCTAGGATCTTTGAGGATTCATGAAGGATTAGTTTGGGTCCTTATTGTCTTCTCAAATGCTGCAGGGGTGCAACTTCAATTTCATTTTCTGCTAGCGAATCAAGCGTTTACACTGCAGGCGCTGATGGAATGGTTTGCAAGATTGATCCACAAACTGGAAATCTGTTGGGAAAGTTTAAAGCTTCAAGCAAAGCAATATCCTCTATGTGTGTTTCTCCAGGTAGGTGCTATGGTAGTATTGGTACTTATGTATAAACACATTCTGGCTTGTAGTTTTCCTGCCCTTGTTATCCTGCTTGAATCTGGAATGAACTCAGTTTTTTGGTCAATTCATGATTTAAGCATTTGGTATTTGCTGTTCTTTTGTTTGTTGATGGAACATACCGTACTGGTTTTCTGGAAAGTTTGACCTTTATTCTATTTTTACCTATCTGATCAGATGGGAAGATACTGGCAACTGCTGCTTCGCAGTTGAAAACTTTCAATTGCTCTGATCACAGGAAGATACAGAAATTTTCTGGTCATCCAGTGAGTTTCTTTTTTCTGATCTGTTTTCTATTTATATTTCAACTTCTTCAAATGCTAGATTTGTGGGTGTTGAATCATATTTTTCTCTTCATCTCACTCATTCAGTCACAATACTTTGTTCCAGGGATCTGTGCGGTGTATGATTTTTACTGATGATGGAAAATACATTCTCTCTGCTAGCGGTGAAAGATATGTTGCACTCTGGAGAACTGGCAGTGGCAAAAAACAGTCGGTCTGTGTTTTTGCAATGGAGCATCCTGCAGTTTACCTTCATGCTAAGTGTTTTGAGAAAGGCGAAGCGGATGACAATGATGGGCTTTATGTTTTGGCAATCTCAGAGACTGGCATTTGTTACACATGGTGTGGGCAGAATGTTGAGGAACTACGGACTGCCAAGCCCACAAAGGTCTCACTATCCTATGATGATAAAAAGCACAGGGGTGCACACCCTGCAATATTTGCAGCACAATTACAAGTCATCCCCAAACCTACATCTGCAAATGTGTATCTTGCCTATGGTCTGCTGGTGAAGCCTTCATTTCAGAAAGTATTAGTTGAAGCTGGCAATGATGTCGAGTTAAGTAGTTTTCAGGATGGAGTTCTCTTTCCTGCTAGCCAGTCCATCAAATCTAAGAAAGGGATGGATCGAGGTAAAGATTGACAATTCTTCTTATTCGAATCCTGAATCAGGAAGGTAATACTTATTCCGATGGCTTATAACATTCGTCTGAATACTTTTGTGATTATCAACAGTAACTGCTTTGGACCGTGCAAATGTGGAGGATGCACTTCTTCCTGTGCCAAAAGTATCCGATGTTCATGTTGATTTGGACAGCCGAAGCCAAGCGGAGTCTTTAGAGTTTAAAGGTATGTTGGTTACTGTCCACCATATTGTTAAATGCAGTAGTTTATAGTCATAGGAAGGCACTAGCTATATGGTTTGAGTTCTCTATATCTTGTCAGGAAACATGTCAATGCATCACTATTCACTACGTGCAAATGGAAGCATCAGAATTGCTACATTTTCCTTTTCACTTGCTCAAACCTTTTGCTTATGCAGATGACATGGTAGATGTTGAGACTCCAACAACTAGCATGGAGACACGATTGAGACAATTGAGAATACTACCGAACGATGGTGACATCATCAAACCTGTAATAGAGTCTCTAACTTCTAAGGGAATCCAGCTCGAAGATAACTTCCCCCAAAAGAAGGTTCGTCTTCTAGATAGAATAAACACCGTTTCTCTCTTATTTTCTGTTAGCAGTTTTTCAAACTCGCTCCTTTAGCCTTTCTCACTGGTTCTATCTTCTCTCCTTTGCCAGATCAGGGCTTCCGTTTTGTCTATGGAACCAAGCAATGGTTACAAATTACTGGAGACCTTGGTGTCCATATGGCAGTCCAGGTTAGCTCTCTTCGCTGCTTCTCTATTTAAATACTGACGATCTTCATGAAATGATTAAACTCTTAGGTACCAAATACCTGAAGATGATCATAGTTAGGCCAATATTGTAACAGAATATCATACGAGATCTGTGATTCATTCATAAAAGCATTTATGACCTAGTTATGCCTCAAACTCATGTTGGTTATTTTCTTCCGTAGATCACATAGTGGAAAGTCAGTGCTGGCATGGATATCCTGGATATTGGTCATTCATGGTCATTACATTGTGGCTCAAGAAAAATCTGAGAAAACCCAATTGCTTAGCACCTTGCTGAAGGTAACTAACGGCCAGTGCATTTGTCAGATATTAACTTACAGTTTGATTTTGATGACAAATATTACCCTTGATCCCCTTCTCCAGACTACCAAATCCAGAGAGGTTGCTGTGCAACCTTTATTGCAGTTATCAGGCCGATTGCAGCTTGTGACAGCACAGGTCTGTCATGTAGTTACATTTATTATCTCTTCTTATTTCATATGCATGACGATTTTGTGCTTATGTTCGATATTCTTTTTCTTTGAAGTTCGACAAGGACTCTCTGAAGAATAACCATGTTGCATCACCGGACGACCAAGTGGAAGATGAAGATGATGACGACGACGAGGATGTTGATGAGCGTATATATGGCCAGGAAGACGATGGATCGGATTTAAGCAGTGATGATGAAAAGTAGGAGCTTATCAACCCATTGACGGACTGTTCATCAAGCAATGGATCAATGATGGTGGTGAATGAATGGGTGATCTATCATTCCATATATTGCCCGCCCTAGTCGATTCAGGTAACAGTTTTCGACCTGAGCTCTGCCTGCCTGCTTGCCCTTTGGAAACAAACACACGGCCAGCTAGGGATTGGTTTCGGTTCCGGCAACGACCATTCGCCATACTCTTCTGCTTTCCCGACGGAGCAGGTTTTTGTACTATTTACCTCGACTTTTTCTCGTGTTCCTTTTCTAGAGAGAGTAGTGTGTGTAAAGGCGCCAAAATGATTCTGAATTTTACTAACAGCTACCTTGAGCTAAAACTTATCCCCATTCTACATGATTGGGAAGCCATTATTTTGGTAAAAGGTTACATCTTTACTACTTGTTTTCTAAGTTAGGGAGGCTGGAGAAACGTGTAGGATAGTATAATAGCAACAAAAATTCCCTCCAACCATTTCTAGGGATTTTAGGTCCCTTGGAGTCGGAAGTGGAACGCAGAATCGATTCGATTCTTTCCCCATCACTTATGCAAGTATGGAATCTCATTCTTTCCCCTCTTTTCCAGAAAGAAAAAATAACTTGCACATCTTCATATCGCCGTTCCTTTTTGTTTAATCGTGTTTACATTACTGTGCATGAATTTGGGTTCTCGTCGCTGAACATGGACGAGATGTTTCCGTTCCCGCGATAATTACCGTCATGGTACTCATCGTCGTAGTAGTCCATCCTGCCATACCGTGTGTACCTTGATGGTTGCGGTGGAGGCATAGGCATGTACCTTGGCTGCGCCGGAGGTGGCGGCGGCTGCGTCGATCGGACGTATTCGTACTCCGTCACGTACGGTGCTGGCCTGTACGTATTGTAGTTGTGATGAGCAACGTACACCGGTGGCGGTGGCGGAGGATGGTGAGAAGGTGGCGGCCTGGTGATGACGACTGGTGGAAACCCTGGACCGTCGTGGTATCTGTCCCAGGGTTGATGATAACCGGAATTTGAACTAGAACTAGCAGGTGAACCACCACCGTAGCCATATCTGTAGCCGTAGTCCGGCGGTGGATTGTAGCGGTAGTCTGAGGGCTGGTGGTGGTAGATGACGTGAACCTCTCCTACATCTTTCTGCTGCCCCGGCGGATTAGAACCCGCCGGTGGCGGCTGCTGGCTTGATGAGTTTGGCTCTGTTTCTGGTGGTTGTGGTGGTGGTGGTGATGGGTTGTTCTCCTCCGGTTGTGGATTCTCCGGCGGGGGCGGTGGCGATGGTTCCGTGGGTGGCTCAGTTTGTGGAGGCGGTGATTGTTCCGGTGGGCCTTCCGGAGGAGGAGGGTTTGATTCGTCCGGCGGTGATTCGCCGCCGCCGTCCGGTGGTTGTTCAGGTGGGTCGGGGGGAGATTCTTCTGAATGGGAGCATATGATGGCCGTCTTCCTCGTCTTCCTGATGGCTTTCACGATCTTCTGAGGATCGGCCCATCCGACGATCCTCAGCTTCTGCCGAGGGACGTCGATGTAGAGATCGTGAATCCCTGTGCATCACAGCCATTATTGATGAAGCAAAATCATAATGCAGCAGCTTGTAGATGAAACTGAGAAGAGATGTAACGAAGGAGTTCGTTTACGTACATACCATTGACGCCATGAAGGGCCTTCTTGATCTTCTGGACGCAGCCATTGCAGTCCATCCGGACTTGTATCTCTGTGACTCTAGGCCTCTGCAGAAAACAGAGGATTCAGGAAACAGGGTTAGTATGAAACAGAGATGGCGGATGTTTGTTAGTTAGGAATGGAATTAAGAGAAGATGGTGTTATTACTGTACCTCTAACTCTTGAGCCATTTGGGTTGAGAGAGAGAGAGAGAGAGAGAGAGAGAGAGAGGAAGAGAGGGGAGAGAAGGAGAGGGATGAAATGAGAATGAGAATCTACGGTGTCATTTATTTGTACGTATGGAGAGGGTAGCGAGAGATTGGAATATAACTGGAGGGAAAAGGGTGTGGGACATGTAAGGAATCTCTTCCATCCTTCCTTTTACTTGGAGAGGGAAAGAAAGGAAATGGAGTGGTTGGGAGAGAGATGAAGGCTTGTGCCCTTTGGGAGGGTCATTGTCAAAGGAGAGGGAAGGAGAAAGAACCAGAAAGGTGGCCATTTCATGGGTTGGAAAGTGTTTTACGATAGAAAGTTGTGGTGTCTTTGTATGGACGTTGTGAAGTCTTCTAGCTAGCTGCTGAGTGCTCTGACCATATTGAGCCATGGAAAATGGAATTTCTCTGCAGAACTAGAAGGGCTCTCGATTTTGGAGTGCGGATTTGGTGACTAAGGGGGTGCTTAATCACTTGACTAAGCGCCTCCCATCCCTTAGATCTGGACACTTCAATCCAATGGCTAAAAAGTGGGAAGAGCTATTTAATTAATAACATGGGTAGTTTGGATATTATGGAAAATTACGAAGTATACAAAACGGATTTACAATCAGTACAAACCATACAAACATACGAACGGTACAAACTAGAGCGACAAAACATACAAACAGATTTACAAACATTACAAACGTATGAACTGTACAAACAATACAAACAATACCGACAAACAATACAAACCATACAAAAAGAAAAAACAACCGGGTTGACTTTTGAGGCTCCATCCCTATATAGAGGGGCTCCTTCCCAAAGTCAACCCGAGTGTTTTTTTAGACATACAAACAGTACGAACATGGTGGACAAAAATGACAAACTAGACCGACAATCCATACGAACGGGAAAAAACTCCCGGGTTGACTTTGGAGGCTCCATCCCTATATAGAGGGGCTCCTTCCCAAAGTCAACCCGGGTGTTTTTTTAGACATACAAACAGTACGAACATGGTGCACAAAAATAACAAAGTTTACGAACATTACAAAATAACAAAGCGTACAAACATTACAAAATATGTCAACAAACATCACAAAATTGGCACTGTCGCCGGAAAATTCTTCTCCGTCCACGATGATCGCCGGAAAAAAAAAGTTCTGATCAGAAAATTTTCCGACCAAAAATTTTCCGACCTCTCTCTCTCTCCTCCCTCCCTCCCTCTCTCTCAATGGCGCTTCATCTCTTTGGGGAAATTCCCCTGGAATTAATGCGCCCAGGAATTGGAATTAATGGCGCCCAGGAATTGCCGACGGTGGCGGGGCAATTAATTGGGACGGAGGCGGCAGGCGACGCAAAAGGGACGGGTTCTGAGCTGGGTTAATTTTTTTATTCTTTTTATAATTAAAAATTAAATAAACATGTAATTACTACATTACCCTTCATTAAATAGGATTAATAGGAGCCCTTGGATTTTAATGAGGTTGAGTGGCTGAGATTCACTTAGCCATGTGACTAAGGGGACCCCCTTAGTCACCTGATCCCAGCCCTCGATTTTGGCTTATTGCTTGGATGTGGATGTGTACATTGATTGGAGTGGGAGGTGTTGCCGGGTCGGCCACGTAACTGCGGTACCGTGTTTCAGGCTCGAAGCGAGTCACTTCGATTCGAACGGAAAACCTTTTCTGATGCTATCTTAATCCTTGAGTGATACTTTTAAGCGGGTCGTTGTAATATACTTACTGATTCATTACTAGATTATGAATTGGAGTCTTGGAGGGTGGAAACCATAGTTACCTTCTCTTCAAATTAATCATGATAGAGCTGTTACGTTAGATTCCTTACTGGTTACAAATTAGTCCTAATAGTAGGAGTTCCTTATGGGTAACCAACACCTCCAAAAGATGGTAACACGAGACAATGAAGATTATCCTCAAGGCGTGGCCTATTAACAAGAGTCTTACGTCAATTCGGTTTGTTTTTCGGGTTTGATACTCGAGATATCTATCAATAAGAGTAATCCATGAGGAGCACCTGTCCAAATGAGATGGGTTTCGATGCTAGTTAGTAATTACATTAACGACCCAAGTTTACTTCCACCTCTTTGGTGTTTGATCTGAAGTACCGATGTTGGATGTTTTCCTGTGTCTTCACAAAGTCCTCGATCGTATATTTTATTTATTGACTGATGTCTTGTGTATCGAACTCAAGAACGAATCAAATTAAGATGGTTTCAATACAAACTATGTTTACGAGACAAAAATTTACTCCCACGATATGAAGTAGTGATGTGAGATATTTTCCAAAGACGACTGTCCGTTTGATAAGTACTCTTGGGCCTTGGGAGGAAAGGGCTTCTTTAGGCTAGGACCAGGTTGACTAGGCAAAGGAAAGGACCATCCCTCAACCAACCAATTGTCTTTTGGGCATACCAAATGATTTGGTCACTAAACTATTGCCAATTATCCTTAATATGTTTATGTTAGATGTTAGGCAAGGATTAGTGCTGTTCTAATGCTCTTAATCACTCTGAAATGTTCAACTTAAGCCACCCAAAACCATGTAATTGGTCCACGTCAATCTTTCTATCGGTTAAACAATATGGAGATTCCTCTTTCTTGTCTTGCTTTACAATGGAGGATCTTTGGTATATATCTTTGAGCCTTAACTTCCACTAAGTAATTGTGTTTGAATATAAAAAATGTTATGATAACATGTAACGTAATGCAATGTTGTCAAAATCGGAGCGGAGTACAAAGTAGCGCAGTATGCAGTCAGCACTTCAAAAGTGTCACTCACTTTGATATACTTTGAAACATAAAAAATAAAATGTTAATTAATGATTTTTTATCAGGGTATACCATATAGTACAAAAGATTATATTATGATGATATGAAAATTTATCATATGTAGTAAAATACCATACCATAGCGTAGCCGTAGAATGATGGTATGAGAGCTCCCAAAATTCCCTCAAAAATAGATTAAGAATTGACACCATTTTGTAGACCACAATGAAATTATTCGGTCTTTGCAAAATTTTTCAAAGTGTAAGTCAAAATGAAAGAGGTAAAGAGTAAAGATTGTTAGAGTGTGATAGAGAGTGGTAACCGGTGATCGAAATTTTTTAGCTCGAATTATATCGAAATCATAATATTATTTTGTAGATCCTAATAACCCTGTTTCTTCTGTGCAATTTCCATATAATCGAGTTAAAATAAGAAGATACATGTGGGATGTGGATTTGATCATTTGAAAAAACAAGAAAATAAATAATTCTTTCAATTTCAACAGTCAGATATGAGTTCACCTAAAATTAAGCGACCAAATTGAGTTATGCACAAAAACGTACTTCTTGGGAGTCCAAGATAGAAAAATCATTGTGCTTAGGGAGTACTTGGTTGGAGATAATTAGAAGGTTGAAATTCATTTGCATGCACTAAAATAGATATATTGTTTTTTTTATTAATACCTATTTTATATATGCAGTTAAATTTCTGCATTTTATAACACTTATCATATATGAAGTTAAATTTTGGCATTGAATATATCCCAAATGAAGTAATCCCATTTACATAGGAGGGAGAAGTATTCGAAACTCAATATATAAAAACGAAAATCACATGTATTCTACTATTCCTTGTACTTTTCTAATACAATTTCCGATATAAATATATCGAAGAAAACAACTTTATTTCACCAATACATCTCACATAAATTCCTAGCATACAAAATGAATAGTCTGGGATCAACTCAAATAACACAAATCATAAAATATACGAAACTACACCATAGCATAGTTTGAGCTTCTTTAAAATGGAGAAACAGGTTTTCTACTACAGCCTAGACGACTCAAATACCAACACTATCGATTGGAGTTTGCAGGTTCATTGCCTTTCTCTTAGGGTTTGAGCAATTCAATCAAGCTAATAGCTTGTTTAGCTTTGTTAGAACTTCACTAATACTTGGTCGCTCTTGCGGGGAGTCGGAAGAGCAAGCAACACCAATTTTGAAAATGGAAACTACATCTTCCTCAGAGTTTCGGAGAAGTGATAGTTCAGTAAATAGAATTGGATCTAAAACTTCTCTGATTGTCGATTGTTGTTCTGATAAAACATTATTGACAAACTTCTGTAGGTTCAATCCTCCTATAAAGGATTCATCGGTTGGCCTCCTTCCCGTGAACATCTCAAGCACGAGAATTCCATAACTATACATGTCACCTTGGGTCGAAATTTCATTTCCCATACCATATTCTGCAATTTAGCCAAATTGGGGGAAATATTAATAATGGAAATAATTTATGATATATAACCGTAGGGAATCAATCAGACAAATAAAAACATGTATTCTGCTACCAATTTTTTCGGCTAAATATTTTTTTTATAATACTTAGCAAGGAATTCGATATCTCTATAATTTGAGTTCTTAAACGAAATGAGAATATGTAAGATATCACTCGCATAGCCAAAGAGGAGTAAATACCTGGAGGAGCATAGCCGACAGTTCCCTTTATGCCAATGGAGCTAGATGACGTACCATCTGAAGAGAGATTGACAACCGAGGGTTGAAGAAATGTCGCTAATCCAAAATCACCAACATGAGCTACCATATCCTCGTCGAGAAGAACATTGCTGGGCTTAAGATCACAATGAACAATAGGCGTTTCACATAGGTTATGAATATAATCTAGTGCAGATGCTACATGAATGACAATATTTAGCCTCTGGCGAAAATTCAGGCTCCTTGGAGGATCATCAACACTTTCCGTCGCATACAACCAATTTTCCAGGCTTCCATTAACCACAAACTCATAAATGAGAGCCTTGAAATCATTCCCTTGATAATCAACACCAGAACACACTGTCACTATTCTCACAAGATTTCTGTGTCTGATGTTCTTCAAGACTTCACATTCCGCCATGAAACTCTTGGAAGCTCCTCGACGCTGTAAATTGAATACCTTGATAGCTATTGTGGTGTCTTTCCCATTAATGTCAACAACTCCTTTGTACACAGAACCAAAACTGCCAGCACCAAGAAGATTTGTTTCGGAGAAACCATCTGTAGCTTTATGGAGACTTTGGTACGATACCCGAATATCAGAACCATCATCTGAAACTATGTTTCGTTTCCCTTTTCTTTTCATCCATAAGACTGACAAGCAAGAAGCAACAATGACCAAGAAAGCAACACTAGAGCTTGTTGATATGACAACCTTCCACTTGTAGCTCAACTTCTTCTTTGGTTGTCTGAAGCTACAACGTGGGAGGTTAAGTTCAGCCAAACCTCCACAAACCTTGTCATTTCCAATTACTGAGATGATGCTGACGTTTTTCAAAACTCCTGATGCTGGCACTTCACCCTCAAACTTGTTATAAGACAGATTCAACAGCTGAAGAAAATTCATGTTCTCAAAGAATCTGGGAATTTGACCAGATAAGTTATTGCTCGAAACATCAAATAGCTGAATACCTTTTAATAAATCCAAAGTGGAAGGAATCTGTCCTTGGAGGAGATTGCCCTGCAATCGCACAAACTCCAGGCTGCCACATTTACCAAGGCTACTCGGAATGTTGTTCGATAACATATTATGAGATAGATCCAATGAATTCAATGTCTTCAGATTTTCCACTTCGACGGGGATGCCACCATTGAAATGATTATGAGACAAGTTCAAGACTATTGATAAGGAAGAAAGACCCATGATCTGTGGAGGAATGATGCCACTAAGATTGTTGTTTGATAAGTCCAGATTTATCAACCGCCTGCAATTCTCAACATCAGCAGGAATTTCTCCCTCGAGACGGTTATCAGCCAACCGCAGCACAGTTAAATTGCTCAAGTTTCCAATAGACGGAGGAATGGAACCCGGAATTTGGTTGTCGTACAACCGCAAATCCACTAAGCTTGGCACGTTCGCGACGGTGGATAGGATTGTAGTTCCAGACAGCTTGTTCTCGTGTGCCCAAAGCCATTGCAAGCTGACCAGGTTCCGTATGCTCTCCGGGATGCTTCCTGGTATTTGGTTGGTACTGAAGTCGAGCAGCAGGAGGCTCGACGACAGGTTGCCGATTTGCTCCGGTATGCTTCCTCGGAAATTGTTGGTGTCGATGACCAAGGCTTCTAAGTTCCTCGCACCGGCAAATGAGGAAAGGAAACTCAAATCGCCACCACCGTCTTCACCTCCCAGGGAGTTTCCCCCGATGGAGAAACGAAGAAGGTTGCGAGAGCTGGCCATACTAGGCACGCTCCCGGTAAAATTGTTGACTTGCAATTGTAGCTGAACCATGTTCGTGGCGTTGGACAGAGAAGCCGGGAGGCTACCCGTGAGCTCACTAAAAGCTGCGTAAAAGTACTCGAGATTCGGAAGTAATAATCCCAGATTCCACGGGAGGTTCCCCTGGAGCTGGTTGTGTCCGAGCGTGAGATAAACAAGCAAAGACAGATTGAAAATGGAGGGAGGAATTTCACCATCGAAGTAATTAATGTGCAGCATCAGTTGCTCAAGGCTGTTCTTCAGCCGTCCCAGAGCCTCGGGAACTCTTCCACTCAGCTGGTTATCGGATACCCTGATTTCCTGAATGAGTGTCAGGTTGCCGAAAGAAGAAGGGATGTTCCCCGTCAGGAAATTCCTGTCGACGTTGAAGAATTGAAGCTCGTTCAAGAGGCCGAGCTCCGGAGGTATGCTCCCGGTCAAATTGTTTTTCCCGAAATCGAGGTCGGCCAGAGCAGAGCATCCGGAGATGCTGGACGGGATCTCCCCGCTCAGGGAGTTGTTGGAGAGACGCAGAACCTGCAATCTGCGGAGGCGGCCTATTTCCGGCGGGATCGAGTTGCGGAATGTGTTGTTGTAGAGGTGGAGCTGCTTCAGGAAGGTGAGATTGCCGATGTGCGGAGAGATGGAGCCAGAGAGCCCCCGGGAGTTGAGGTCGAGGACCGCGACTCGATCGCGTCGTTCGGAGCAGGACACGCCACCCCAAAGGCAGAAATGAGCGGAATCGTTCCACGAGCTCAGGAAGCCCAGAGGGTCGTCGGAAATCATGGACTTGAACTCGAGCAACGCGAGGCGATCGGTCTCGTTGCTCGAGGAAGTGGCACCGGCATGGTGGTGCAGGAAGCAGAGCTGAAGAAGAAGAAGAAGAAGAACCCAGGATGTAAAGAGCCAGAGTGTCATTGGGTTTTCTTGATGGAGAAGACTTTCTTGGTTGGTATATTTTTTCTTGGTTGTATCTGTTTTTCAATGAATTGAGATGGATCCGAGGTAAGGAAATGTATATATAGATTTCAATGAGATGGATCCATCATGGCGCTCACTGGAAGTCAAAATTGAAGAAGGGGAAATGGGGGATTTCAGCTTTCTCCCTGTTCTTCTCGACCATGTGCAGAAGAGAATACAAAAATGGAAGGGTGGCGGCTTTTTCTGAGGCGGGTCAGCGTTGACCAGGGTGGCAGGTGTTGTTAGTTGTTACCTGGCCGGCCGGCGAAGAAAAAGCGACAGCTCTGGTTTTATTTGATGGCGAGAGCAGGAACAGCAGTTTAAGGTGGCTGCTTTCTTTCTTTCATGGGAATTGTAATTCTCATTCTTCCCCTGATCGTTGACCTTGCCCGGCGATTTGGCATTATGACAATTTGCTGTCATTTCCCTTCCAATGTTCATTTTTGCTGTTGTCAACCTGTCTCCGATGTGAAGCTGGTGGAAGAGGGAGTGAAAGGCGGAGGAGGTGGATTATTTACATGTTGGGAGCGCTATCACCACCATTGTCAACTTCACGGGCATCTTTTCTTTTTGCTATAATTTTTTTTTTTGTTAGGAAAAGGTTGAAAATTGACTATAATTCATTGGGTCCACTATATGAAGTTGCACCATATTGAAAGAAATGTGACATACTTACAATATTTGGTTTAAAAAATTTATCATTAACGTTACTTCGATTACCAACATACTGAAAGAACAACACTGGAAACTACCCATCATCATTAAAACACAAGATGCTCGAGCTTTCTCGTTATATCATATGCAACTTAGCTCCCTTAGTGTGCATTTAGATAGGTGTATTTTAAATATAAGGTATTTGAAATACATATAGGTAAAATATATGCATTTAAAATAAATATATTTCAAATTCGTTGTTTGGATACTTGTTTGTAATTTATTTTGTATTTCAGTTTTTTTTAATATTTGAATTTTCTGGTCACTTATTACAAATTTTGGTACCCAAATTTATTTTTTCTTGCAATTTAGTACCAGAACTTTTAAAATTTTACAAAAAGGTCCACAAATTTTGGTGTTAAAATTATATTTTGGTACCTTTATATGTTTTGCCTCACACTATAGTGCCTAAACTTTTAAATTTTTTCAAATATGTCCACTCTTTTGTTAGGAAGAATTTCAAGCCAGCAGTTATTGAAATGTATTTGAAGTTGAGAAGTAATACACTAGAGAAATATTTAGAAATCATCCCATGAATTTGACACAAACCCAAATACCAAATGCAATTAATACCCAAACAAATGATTTGACATTTAGAAATTCAAATCATAGATACCAAATTGAAATCCTTGTATCCAAACACACCCAAGCATTCTGACATACACCTTATATGTTTTAGTTGGTGGTCAATTGATGGATTCTCAATGGAAAAAGGAAGCTACCAGTAAAGTCCCAAAGCAACCCATAAAATATCACGACCGCCACGCGATAGGTAATACTAGTGACGAAAACTGAGAACAAAGACAAAAAAAACTTACAGACAAATGCTTTCTTATGACTTGGCCAAAATTCCAACCATTTGGCTGGTTAATAAACTTGCAAGGAAAACCTCTTTAAAAAAAAATGTCTCCCTTTTTCTCATTCTTTTTAGACATAGACATATGGGTTTTGTTGCATGTAGCCTTCCACAACCTTCAACATAGCCGTGGCGGTGACTTTCCCTTTATTCCGCTCGTTTTCTGAAGGTGGCTCGTCGCCCTTGGTTTCATAGGTAGTCTTGGTCTTTCTTATAGTTCCTCCGTCGCCTCCAGGAACAAACACCACCTCGTACGAGATGCTCTCCATCTTCTCCTTCTGAGAATGTTTGTAACCTAGCTGCGATGGTGCTAGGGTTTCAGAGAAGAAGGGAAGCCGATAATGTGGGAAAACGGCGGAATACCTTCTCCATTTCCATTGATCAGTATATATACAAACAGCTAATTACAGAGAAAAGGAATCTACTGTAGTTTAACGGCTATAATAAACTAACTATAAAAAACAACCTGTAAAGGGACGACACGTGTCTAATGTGAGTTACTAACTATACAGCTCAAGCAATCTGTAAACGACACCGTTTTCGTCTCTTATTTATAAACCGGTTTGCATAGCCGAGCCGGGTGAAAGGAAGCCCGACCCGGCTGTTCTGCATCTTCACTCTGCAACCAGCTGCAGGATCTTCTTCTTCCTTCTTCACTGATCAGGCACACTGCAGCTGTGCTTCATACTCCTCCTCAAGCTGGTGAGTACAGATCATGTACTCCCAGCTTGCGCAACAAGAATTGAAACCTGTCAACAGACAGCCCCTTTGTAAAGATGTCTGCTAACTGGAACTCTGTTCGAACATGATGAAGATTTAACAAGCCTGACTTCAATCTTTCTCTAATAACGTGGCAATCAACTTCAATATGTTTGGTTCTCTCGTGGAATACTGGATTTTCGGCTATATGGATTGCCGATTGATTATCACAGTAGATTTTGACAGGATGAGGATGAGAGACTCCATAAAACTGAAGCAGCGACTTGAGCCACTGCACTTCACATGACAAATGAGCAAGGGCCCTGTATTCAGCCTCGGAAGATGACCTTGAAACAGTTCCCTGCTTCTTACTCTTCCAGGTGATGAGTGAGTTTCCCAAAAAAGTGCAGTAACCTGTGATGGATTTCCTGGAATCAGGGCAAGTAGCCCAATCTGAATCACTGAAACCACTTAATTGCAAGCTTGTATCTGAAGGAAACCATAAACCCTGGCCTGGACACCCCTTAAGATACCTTAAAATCCTATGCAAAGCCTTCAAATGGACTGTTGTGGGACAATCCTGAAACTGGCATAACTGCTGCACAGGGAAACATATATCTGGCCTAGTGGAAGTCAAATACTGCATTTGTCCAAGGATGTGTCTAAAACCTGTGATGTCTTCTAGTAAGGTTCCATCAGTAGCAGAAAGAGAAGTCTTCATGCTGATGGGGGTCTTGGCAGGTTTACATTCTAGAAAGTCAGCATGTTCAATCATCTCTAGGCAGAACTTTCTCTGGGATAGTGAGATGCCTCTAGATGTTCTGACTATCTCCAACCCTAGGAAATATTTCAGATTACCTAGGTCCTTGACCTTAAATCCAGACTGCAATTGCTTCTTAACTGCTTCAATATCTTCCAAGCTTGGACCAGCCAAGATGATATCATCCACATACACTACTAAGATGACAGTAGCACTTTTGAACACAGAATAATCCTCAAATGACTGTGTGAACCCCATCTGACCAAGAAACTCAGTAAGCTTAATGTACCACTGCCTGCTAGCTTGCTTTAATCCATACAAGGATTTCTTCAATTTGCACACCTTACCCTGCATGTGACTTAGCTCCCTTAGACCAGGTGGTAACTCCATGTAGATCTCCTCCTCTAAGTCACCATGGAGGAAAGCATTGCTGACATCCATCTGATGGAGATGCCAGGAATGCACAGAAGCAACAGCCAGAAGCAGTTTGACAGAGGCCATCTTAGCAACTGGGGAGAAGGTGTCAACATAATCATGTCCAAAGATCTGAGTATAACCCTTAGCAACAACTCTAGCCTTGAATTTGTCAATGTGGCCATTGGACTGGAATTTGGTTTTATAAACCCACTTACTGCCTATTGGTTTGATTCCTGGAGGCTTGTCTACTATTTCCCAGGTTTGGTTAGCATCAAGTGCTTGGACCTCTTCTATCATGGCCCTTTGCCAGCAAGCATGTGGAGCTGCTTGCTGATAAGTCTGGGGATCAGCAGCAAGAGAGAGGGACAAGGCAAAGGATCTGTGTCCTGGAGATAGATGGGAATAGTTGATGGTACTAGAAAGAGGATATAGAAGTTTAGAGTCAAAAGAACTGTGAGAAGAAGTGAGAAAGGAAGTGTGGAAGTCAGCAAGATGTGCTGGTCTTTTAACTGTTCTAGACTGCTTTCTCAAGGCAATAGGTGGTGATCCTGAAGAAGAAGAATCAGGAGAAGAACTCCCTGAGATAGGAGAAGGAGGAAAAGAAGGTGAAGGTGAATGTGAAGAGGAAGAAGTGTGTGACCCAGTAGGAGAATCAGGAGTGTAATCTGGATCAGTTGTCTCATGGACATTGTGGTCAAGAGGTAATAAGGGAGAAGAATCTTCTGTAAAAAGAAAAGAAGGATGATCAGGTGGTGTAGTAGTTGTAGTAGGGGAAGACTTGGTGTGAGAAAGAAATGGGAATTCAGACTCATTAAACTGAACATCCCTGCTGGTAAACACTTGCTGCCTATCAATGTCATAAAGTTTGAATCCCTTGATCCCAAAACTGTACCCCAAGAACACTGCCTTTACTGCTCTAGGAGAAAACTTAGGTTTGTGAGGATCAACAATGGTAGCAAAAGCTAGACATCCAAACACCCTTAGGCTGCTGTAATCAGGAGGGATGCCATACAAGCACTCAAAAGGTGACTTGTCTCCTAGAACAGGTGTTGGGATTCTATTTATCAGATATGCAGCATGCAAAACCAAGTGGCTCCAAAAACTAGTTGGTAAACCTGATTGGAACTTCAAAGACCTAGCAACATTCAATAAGTGCTGGTGCTTCCTTTCAACCCTTCCATTTTGCTGAGCTGTGTATACACAACTCATTTCATGTACTATTCCCTCCTTCTGGTAAAACTCATTCATGTTAAACTCCTGGCCCTGGTCTGTCCTGATAACCTTTACTTGTTTCTCAAACTGAGTTTTAACCATTGCACAAAATGATTGCAAAGAAGAACGTGCTTGAGACTTGGAACTCAGTAAATAAAGCCAAATGCATCGGCTATGATCATCCACAATAGTTAAGAAGTACTGAAAACCATCATGTGAAACAGTATCCACAGGACCCCATAGGTCTGCATGTATCATGTCAAAAACAGAACTAGACCTAGATGTGCTTCTAGGAAAAGGAAGGCGTTTTTGTTTGGCCAAATGACAAATCTCACAATCAAAACTCACAGGTGAGCTAAACTCATTACAATTTTTGTTCACAGCTTGCAATCTAGAAAAAGAAAGGTGGCCTAGTCTTTGATGCCATAAACTGGAACTTGAACAGCTACTGGTGTTTACTCCAAAAACTTGGGGGCTGCAACTCTCTCCAGGGTGATTCTCTCCAAGAAGATACAGGCCTCTACTTACTGGGATTAAACCAATCCTCTGTTGAGATATGAGGTCCTGTATATGACAAAAGGTGGATTGAAACAAGAGTGAGATTGGACTGTTTTTAGTGAGTTGGCTAACTGAAATTAGGTTATAAGAAAAGGATGGTACTAGAAGCACATTGGTCAAAAGGATACCACAAGGAAGCTTAACTATTCCTACATGGGTTGCTGGAGCATGATGTCCATTAGGAAGAGTGACTGTCATTTTGTCTATCTGCTTACATCTAAGAAACAGCTTGATAGAACAAATGATATGATCACTAGCTCCTGTGTCTAATACCCAAAACACTTCATCACTAGAAGTTTTGAGAGTAGAGAATGCTGATGTACCTGCCATTGGAGAGCTGTTCCTGGTCAGCACAGAATTGGCCTGACTTGTGTTGTGAGCAGATGGTGTCTGCAACAATGCCTTAAGCCTTGTAAGCTCATCAAAGGTAAAACCAGAGAAAGTTGGGGAGCTTGAATCTTGTGGACTAGCTGGACTAGTAGGCCTGTAATTGCTTCCTCCTCCTGAAGAAGTCATCTCTGGTGAATTGACATCAACAGACCCAGCAAAGCCTCTTCCTCGTCCTGAGTTGTTCCCTGAGTTTGAAGTACTGCCTAAGAGACCATTCTTCTTCTTAAGTTTCCAACAGTCCTCTTTGACATGATTGTCCTTCTTGCAGTATCGACAAAACAACCCAGTTGGTTGACCATACTCAGCAGGTCCCTTATCTCTAGGTTGGTTATACTGAGATCTGGAGGCTGCTAATGCTGTGGCTAGTGCAATAGCCTCTTCTGATTTACCTGCATTAGCTTTAGCCCCATTGAGCTGCCTCTCCAGCTGAACCACAGAACGATACACACTATCCAAATCAGGCAGTGGATCTAACATGAGCATCTGAGTCTTCACCTGCTGATATTTCTCATTCAACCCAAGCAGAAACCTAATAACCCTTCCTCTACCTTGATACATCATAACTGTTTCATAAGTGCGAGATGCACAATCACAATAGGGAATGGGAAGGTAGTTATCAAGTTCATCCCAGCAAAGCTTCAAGTTAGTGTGATATTCTCGAATGGATTCACTTCCCTGCTTAACCAGGTCAATTTTCTCTTGTAAATTTGCGATTCGGACTGAATCCCCTTGACTGAACTTACCCTTTAAGTAAGTCCAAGCCTCAGAAGCAACCTTGATATTACGCAGACTAGGGACAATGTTCTCAGACACAGAGTTTCGAATCCAGCAAACAACAGTACCATTAACACGATCCCAGGTTCCATAACTTGGATCAGTAACAGGAGGTACCTCGATTGTGCCTGCGATGAACCCTAGCTTGTTCTTCGTCCTGAGAGCGACTTCCATGGATTCGCTCCACAGTAGGTAGTTGTCATCTGTCAACTTGAAGCCGATGACGGGTAAAAACGAGTTGTCACTCTGAGCAAGGTAGAAAGGGTTGGAGTAAGGATCCTCGTAGCGTGGTGGAGGTTCGACTCTTTCACTTGATTCTTCATCAGCCATGGCTACAGGTCAGAAGTGGAAGAAGATGAAAGAAGAAAAGAAAAGGGGGAAAAACAGAAATCAGACTGGTATGAGCCAACCAGGCTCTGATACCATGAGAATGTTTGTAACCTAGCTGCGATGGTGCTAGGGTTTCAGAGAAGAAGGGAAGCCGATAATGTGGGAAAACGGCGTAATACCTTCTCCATTTCCATTGATCAGTATATATACAAACAGCTAATTACAGAGAAAAGGAATCTACTGTAGTTTAACGGCTATAATAAACTAACTATCAAAAACAACCTGTAAAGGGACGACACGTGTCTAATGTGAGTTACTAACTATACAGCTCAAGCAATCTGTAAACGACACCGTTTTCGTCTCTTATTTATAAACCGGTTTGCATAGCCGAGCCGGGTGAAAGGAAGCCCGACCCGGCTGTCCTCCATCTTCACTCTGCAACCAGCTGCAAGATCTTCTTCTTCCTTCTTCACTGATCAGGCACACTGCAGCTGTGCTTCATATAACAGGTCTCCCTCCAACAACGTGTACTTATACGCGAACTTCTCCACATCCAAGGCATCGATCCTCGTCTTCACATTCTTACTCGACACCCCTGCGCCAGAAACAAAATTCGAGTCATCCAGACGAACCGATTACAAAATGTACTACTAGTCCTTTCAATCGCCCTTGAGGCAGAATGATTAGTGCAGTTGATAAGACTTGTAGGAACCGTGCATTGTTGGAAAGTGATGAGCCTGATGGTGCCAACGCCGCCATCACCTTGGACGACAGAGATGGACTTAACAAGCTGAGGAAAGAGCTTGGGGACGAGAGTTTCAGAGTCGCCAATCAGGGCCTTGAACAGCCTCGATGGAGAAACAGGGGATGTGTTCTCCTCAGTGTAAACGTGGACGCCCATGGCGATTTCTCTTTTCTTCGTCGAGAAAGACAAGTGGCTATGAAGGAGGAGGAGAAGAAGATCGACGAGGAAATGTAACTTTTGAGTGCTCTTTGGAACTGTATTTGCAATGGAGACATGCAATGTATTTAAAGAGACCGAAAACAGAGTGTGTTTACTTCGATTGTCCAAATAATCCACTGATATCACCGATTTTTTTTTAAACGGGCAGATTACAATTTGAACCGTTGAACATATGCGAATCCGACCGAAAAATAGAAGTTTTTACAACCCAAAACCTGAATGACCCGAACATGATTAGCCCGTGAATTTTTGGGTCGGATTGGGTGGGTTAGCGGGTCGACCTGTTAGACCCGTTCCATTCCATATGTCACTAACAAAATGATAAAATCAATCATAAATTGGTGAGATGTTTAAAAAAATTCACACAAGGATTTGAAAAGACATGTTTGGAGTTTAAGGATAATCAAATATCATATGTGTTAGGTAAACTACTGCTATGCATATGTGAAGATTTGTATTCTTTAGAAAAATATGAAGCACGTTTGATATTATTTCTGAGAACGCTCATGACTCGAAACGACTTGTAACCCGACCCGACACCCGTTGGACTGGGTCAATATTTGTCCCGAAATCAACTAACCCAACATCACCCGAACCGTAACCTAATGCTCCAACCCGAGATCAGCGCCGGATCTGGGGGCCGCCCCCGGGCCACGACCCAGTCCTCCCCGGATTCAGAGCTAGTATAGCCTTTGTAAATTTCCGATTTTAGGTATTTATTTATGTTCTCGTTGGGTTATGGTCCAATCATCTTTACTTCTTTTCAAATGTGCCCCAATGCTCTACTCTATCCTGGATCCGTCGCTGCCCGAAATTACTCAACTCCACCCAATTGTAAAAAGAATCACCAAAGTTGATTATTATATAAGTAGGGATTCCGCAGGGCAGACGGAAGGAATCGAAAGGCGTCCGGCAGTTTTTGTTGCTACTCAGTCTGAGTTCTGTCCATGGTGATTGATTCTTGTTCTCTCATCCCCTGCCTCCTGGCTTTATTATTCGAATTAGGCTTATGCTTCATGTGGGAGAATGGCATACAAGAGAGGGACCAAATCGATAGGTTAATTCATAGTTGCAACTTGAAACAAAGGTTCAGTTTGTATTTTAGCTTTGGTGGGTTTGCTATTAAATTGGGGCAACTATGTATGTTTTTTGGACGATTTGGATTTTGATACCGTATGGGAGATTTTTACGAACAAGATGAACCAAAAAAGAGGAGGATCTTCCCAAACAAAGAAAGAGAGAGGAGAGAAAACAACCAACTATACCGTGTTTATTGCATCAAGCTAGGATCCTAGGGCTGGGAAAATAGACCAGACCGTTAGAAAAACCATGGTCCAAACCGTACCACACAGTTTGGTCTGGACCGGAGACCGTGAAGTATGGTCTGGTCCATGGTCTGTATTATTTTATGATTTGATCTCTTAGTCTGGTCTGGTCTAGACCGCGGTTTACAGGACCAAACCGTAGACCCAATTGACTTGTCAATACGTGTTAATAGCCCATTCGACCACTCTCCAAACTCCCACACGACACCCAAGTCTCAACCTTAATTTTGTGAATCTCTTCCCTCCTTCATTCAGAACCACATTTAACCACAGAGTAGAGATAATCGTGTCTCCATATGACATTATGTTAATGTTTATGACATTATGGTGCAAGCTGGGATGCTTTTACTTTGTATCTTTGTTATGTACTAAGATTTAGAGTATCAAATTATTCATGCATGTTAGGATTAATGTTTTAAGGCAAATAACAATTATTTTTCTTGGTTAGTGGTTCAATTTTTTGTGTGGTTGACTAAACAAATTATTCATTTTTCGTTGAGTGTGGTCTATCTGGACCAGACCAGACCAAACCAGACCGCACAGGCGTGGTCTGTGGTCTATACTTTAGCCTCTCGGTCTGGACCGTAGACCGTATATATGGTCTGGACCAGACCGCACCGTTTTCCAGCCCTATAGGATCCCATCAATAATAAATTTTTATTCAAAATAGGACCAAGTTAGTAAGATGCATAATTCATCTTGTCCCAACAACACGAGTCATTGAAATTAATTGGTTCTTGCCATGGTATCAAAGCTGGTATGACCAAATGGTTGTGCGCTCGAATCTCCACGACGCCTAAAATATTAACTATTGATCTAAACACAATGCATGGTGGACATGTGCACACAATCAAGTCCATGAGTGGTCTTCCATTTGAGAGAGGATATAAGAGAGAGTGATACAATATCCATAATTAACATTATCCCACGACAACATGTCGATCTTTTGATTTCCAGACCTGGCTGAATTCCAGGATGTAACGATCTATTGGTCTCAATCTATATGATTATCTTTTGTCCAACAAAAAAACATTATCCCATGAATTATTGGGACCAATGGGTTATTTTATTTTATAACCCAAGAACATTCCCACACACACCGCTTGAGCGATGGTAGAGCGGATCAAATATGGAGATTCACCTACTTGAGCCATTTGGGCCCTCCACTAATATCCCCATTAGGGCTTCCAAGAACACCACGAAAGGGGCTCGAGAGGGTCGAACTCAGGACCTCATACGTCCAGAACAAGTGCCCAACGAGGGTTCACAAATCAGACTATGTGACCTTTGACGGACCAACGAGTTCTTGACATTATTGATATTGAGATGTTACCCTCCCTTCCTAGTTGTGTCATTTGGTCAAATCCATTTCAATTGTAAAATTGTGGCAGAAAACTCGCACTAGATTCATTGTCCTTCCTCCTTATTGAGCTCTAAACATTGAATGACTTGTTTTTCGGTTTTTTGTTGATGTGTACCGGCCGGCGTGCCACTGGTTGAACCTGGTTGAACTAGTATCGGTCATAAAACCTGCGTGACATGACCGGTATGATTGATATACGAATCTCTAAGTAAAATGATCTTTATCTTAGTGAATTTAATTGATAAAAATTAATTTATTATTTATTTCATGAGTTTAAAAGTTAAATTTTGATGTTATTTGTTGGATTCAAGTACAAATGTTTAGGTATCGACGTTAAATGTCGTGTTTAAATATGAGTATTTGTAAATTATTTGTAATATTGACCGGCATGAACCGACACAACCCGGTATGTATCACTGATCAAACCATTTCACTTGCTAAACCGGCCCACTGGTATAAACCGGTTTGACAACCTTGGTTTTTGTCGATCCCGAGAAGTGGTGTTTTTTTCTCATTTCATTGATAAATCATTTCGCCCTTATAAAAAAAATCATAATCACACTCTCCCAAGATTTAGAAGATGTCACTGTCCTTTTAGATTGGGTTTACGATTTAGAATACGAAACACAGAGGGAAATGCAACTAGGGCCACTACAAATGTATGTCAGTATGTTCAACGGGCTCATGTCCAATATCGGTTAGTTGTTTCACAAGCTAGTTCTTCGAAGACGGGTTGGGCACGGGAGTCAAAGATATGACAATCAATGTACTTCGATGCTTATGTAAATCAAATCAATTCCTGTTGGGGGCATGGCCGCGGCCCGAAAGGGTCCAGCTGGCAGGGCCCAAGAGTGAGAAGTTGGGCAGGCTAGGCTAAGTAATGGAGCATGGCCCAATATGCCCAAGGAAGCATGGGTGGAGTTGGCCCATTCATCAAAGAGGAGCACCAGGCCAAGTGGGGCCCAAGCTCTGACACCAGGCGCATGCGACAAGGAGTTACAACGGGAAGGAGGGTACGGAGGAAGGACCACCTGACGTCATGCGCCTCGAATGACTGGGCACGGTGTCAGGTGGTCGAGGCGCATGGGACCTGGTCGTACGACACATTTAATGCGGGTCTGACGACAGGCGGGAGACGGGAATGTCGGTCGGCCAGACCCGAGGTATAAAAGGGGAGTTGGTGAACCTCATTTACTCAGGTTGGAACTTCTCTCTAAAATTACTATTCACTTCTCTCTCTAGAAAGGGTCTCTGACTTGGGCGTTGGAGTGCTAACGAGTCCCGCCCCGGACTCAGTTTAGCCGTGCAGTGTGCAGGGTGGAGCGCGCAAGGCCAGTCACGTGCGAAGGTTCGGGTCGCCTAGTTTCCGGGCACGAACAATTGGCGCGCCAGGAAGGGGGGCAGCAAAGCGTAACTACTGAGGAAGCAAGAGGTCATGGAGGCGCTAGGGGCAGGTGAAGGAGAAGGGGGACCGGCGGGGGCCGAGGCGTCCCAGGAGCCACATGTGTTGTCAGGAGAAGCGCACGCGGCGGTGGACGACGGGGCGCAGGAGGCGACCCAGTCCGAGGGCGTCACCCTCACTAAGGAGCATCTGCTCCACATAGTCGAGCAACAGGAGCAGGCGCTGGAGGCGCTCAGGAAAGAGGTGGAAGTGTTGAAAAGGGGTGCGGTGGCGGACCCCCCACTAGGAAAGAGAAGGGACCGAGAGGAAGAAGAGGAGGGGGCGTCTAGCGCACTAAGGCGCATGGAAGATCTAGGGCACCTGACGAAGCATATGGCATCGGATTTTGACGAGCACAACGGATGGGCACACCGTCGGCAGGGGAGAGCGTGGGGGGTGCGACAGCCCCTCGCGCGAAGCATATTGGCCGAGCAAGCAAACTCCGTCATCCCGGCGCTCCCTACTTACGACGGGGCGGCCGACCCAGAGGATCATTTGAACAACTACTTCACGAAGATGCAATTGTACAACAGCTCGGATGCCACCCTATGTCGCGCCTTTCCTTCTACGTTTACGGGCGTGGTATTGGATTGGTACCACCAGATAGAGGAGGGGCGGATTGATAGCTTTGAGCAGTTCGCGGCCCTTTTTCTTTCAAAGTTCGCCAGCCGGAAGCGGCGGAGCCTCACCATTAGCGCCTTGTTCAAGGTCAAGCAGCGGAAGGGCGAAGCGCTCAGGGACTTCTATGAGCGTTGGATGTCAGTGGCCATGGCGGTCAAGGACGTGAAACCCCCGGTCCTAGGGTGCT